TACAACGTGCTGCTCGTTTGGAAGCATTAAAGTCATAGCCTAAAATTTGATGGTTAGTCCCGTGGCATTTTAACACACGTAAAGGGTTGCACTGTGCTAACACAAAAATCACAAAACAATCACAGATATGCAACTAACTAGGTACTTCTATATGTATGTTTGTTGATCTGCAACAAACCAGATATGTACCTTGCAACTGCGTGCACATAACTGAGATCATGGACTGTATCTCCACAGTCTTTTTCCAAGCAGAAATGCATGAATAGCTGCTATGGGAAATTGCCTATTTTATTTTGACATATGCATGCTGAAAAAGAAAAAGAAAACCCACTTTTTTTCTTCAATCTTTCATCTTGCATCTTGGTTGGCATCCAAAATGTTTCTCTGCAGCTTCCGATTATTTCTCAGGGAAATAAGCTTTCTCCATATTTCCCAAGCTCATTGGACTTTATTTAGGCTGAGCGAGCTTAGAAGAGCAAATAATTCTTGAATGCTACTTGCCAATTATAACATTGAAAAGAATTACAAAAAGTTTAAACTTTAAATCAAAACAAAACTAGAGCTGACGTCACCCTTGTCCTTACACCTTACAGGGCACTCCTTTTTCAATTCATTTGAGGACTGGCAAATAGTACTGATTGCCATGAAGAGCTTTAAACCTTAATCTTCCTTTGGTTTGGAGTCCAGTTTTCTCTGTCCTCCCCTTCCTTCAACAGCTCCTGGCTTGTGATGGGATTCAGCACAAATATAGCAAGGAGGACATCTCCTTCCTGCCCTACAGGAGGATGACAGTCTTTATCGCATTGCTTTTCAGTATGTGCTGCCTGGATTACATGGCCTAACTACTATTCAAAAGACTGCGACTCTTAACAGACCGTAATTCATGCACCTTACACATAACCAACCTCACGTTTCTTCTATTAAATCAAGTCTCTAGCTCAAGCCTGTAAGGAGGCTATACAACCTAGGAGTATCTGGCAATCCATGCACTTTTTTTAAGCTCCCTCAAACTTCTGCCCTGCTTAGGGGTTTCTGCCACCATACAGGTGTCAGAAGAAATACTTTTCTTACAATACAAAAAAAAATCTTATGCGGTTTCTTTGAACATGCAAAAGGTCTCTGCTACCCTCAGCAGGGTCCTTACACCAGATTTGTTTTGTAATGTGAAAGACAGAACTCCTAAAGCAATTCCCATCTCTCCCAGCAGTTTGCTTCTATTCCACACCACTAGAAAAAAAAACTACAACAACAACAAAAAAAAAACGGTTGCCAGAGTTATCTCCTAGGTGCATTTTGCTCTGTACAGCTTTATACCAGGACTGCAATCCCCACACTTGCACAGCCCAGCCTGGTACAAGCCCTCGTGTCACACAATTCGGATCCAACTAAAGAGTACTGCAGCTCCCTAACCCAAAATAAGGCCATTCTCACAGCCCGCAGCACGCAAACTTTAGCTCTGAGAAGCTACTCATTTGCAAAATAAAAACGTAACTGATAAGATCTTGCTGCTTCTTTAAACCATTTTGAAACGTGCAAGAAGGGTGGAAAAGTAGCTGCAAGCAGATGTTGGTTTTACGGTTCTCTTTAAGTGATACTGCAATGCTTGATAGCACACAATTTCAGATCACATAGCTATCACATGCATTCTTTCTGCTCTCGACTAGAAGTTGATCCGGTGAGGAATAAGACTTCATTGCTCCAGCATGAAGCTCCTCATGAAGAATGCTTATTCAAAACAGAAACCTACCAAGCAGTAAGAACTATACAAGTCCATTTTGCACCTTCTCTAGAAGTTCCCATCAGCGTTCAACCTTGTCTATGCAGGCACTAAAATACTTGATGTTTTTCCCAGCCCAGTCCCTAAGGGTGTCTCAACAATCACTACATCTATTACAAACAAACAAGAGTACAAAAGCCCATTGTGCCGCATTCCGCCACCTTGTGATGCCTGCACAGCACAGGACACTTCTGAGTTCTTAATTCAGAACCGTTGTTGAAAAGCAACAAGGGCAGCCCTGAGAACAGAAATCATCTGCTGCCTCTGCTTTGGGAGCCCTTGGAGCAAAAGCAGAGAGCAGAGCACTCACATCCAGCTCCCCAAAGCACTGCATTGCTGTGACCTGGCACTGCTGAGACATCATCTGAAGTCTCTTTCTCACTGGAACTAAAACACGGGGTTTTGATGAGGGATATAAAACCAAGCTAAGCAAGAATCACTTCCTTTAACTTCCTCTTTCAGGTTTAGACCACATTTCCTAAGTAACCTGCTCAAACTGCCGATAAGAAAAAAAAGAAAAGCAGCAGCAATAAAACTAATCCCTATTTACAATCTGCTTTCACCAGAAAGAAAAATAAACAAATTACTGCAGCTTTTTGTTTAGCAGCAATCCAGTCTTGTCAATTACTTCACTTGTTTTGCACTGACTGTGGTAGAACCACAACAACAAAAAAGCATCTTTAAAAATACAGAAGCAGAGCGTCACACTGCAGCCAACCAAGTGAAGCAAAGCAGGGAGGTGTCAGGCCTGCAAGACGTACAGCTGAAAAAACTGGGAAGCCAGCAGGAGAAGCCACAGACCCCAGGTCTCCCACCTCATTCACCGACTGAGTCATCACCGTATGTCACATGAGAGCAGCCCAGTAGGCATACAGACAGCAAGGAGGAAGAAGGCAGGATGGCAAGGGGGCACAGCAAATCAGTGGAGAGAGCCCAAAGGCAGAACCTTCTGGGAAGCAGCAAGAGCTGAAGGACAGCAACAGGGGTCATTAAATCCTTCTTTCAGATATGTGACTGTACTACATCCCGATTTTATGTGCTGATTTGTAAGAAAAAAAATACAATTTCTCGTTACACTTTTGGCAGAACTCCTGGGCTTTTTTTTTTTCTTCTTCTTTTTTTTTTTTTGTTTTTTTTTTTTTTTAATTTCCTTCAGTTCCTATCTTCCTACATCAGAATTACAGGAAAGCTACAGAACAAGCCTTGGCTCCCTTGCTTTCCCTCTCGGAGGAGCACCCAGCATCTGCAAACTGTCTTCCTGTCCCCTCATCCCCATGCACAGAGGACACAGGAGCAGTGCTGATGCAGTAACAGCAGATCCAATGCTAGGGATAAAGCTGTGTCAGCTTCCCTGTTATGAACACATCTTCCTGAGCTTATCGTCTCTGTTAATAACATAATTTGGATCAAGTCTTTCTCCCTTCCAACAAGCAACCTTACATTATAACTGTGTAAATATCTCCATAAAGGTCATTTTCAGACATCTCTCTTTTTACTCATTTTTTACTTAAGAATCAATATTGCAGTGAAATAAGCAAATACTGTTTTCCAACCAAACCCTTCTGGTACCTGCAAAAGACTGACTATAATAAGAGCATTTAAAACAATTATTTTTGTAGTTTGGGAAGTGTTAGTCCAGTATTAGTGCTTTCATTGCTACAAGAGTGCAATTTGTATGCTATAGAGACACATTTTCAACATACTTGGGAAAGGTAATCCAGAAAAACTTAAGCCCATGCACTGGGGTAGATGGATCTAAGTCTATCTTGCCATGAGTTTGACTAAAGTGAGAAGGCAAGGAGAGAAAAAGACTCATATGAGAACAAGGACCTAACTAACAGACTTGCAGTGTGACAGAGAGGTTTTCCAGGATATACCAAGAAGAGAACCCTAGACTGCTCAGGCCATTTACTAACCCCAGTGTGACAAATCATAAGGGAGGCTAGTGTTTATCAGACAGATAGAGGAGGGAGAGACAGAGAGAGAGAACAAAGATCAATCTATCAACACTAGAAGACACTGTTAAAACAAAACAAAATGAAGTCTAAGACCACAAAAGACTGCCTAAGTCCATGCCACATACAAGAACATGGAAACTGGAAGTCAGTTGAATTGCTGCAACCTGGGCTCAATCTCCACTTATCACTCAGGATCCATTTTCCTGAGCCCACAGCACCTCCCTGAAATGCTGGGATGTGCTTCAGAAAGAACGTCAGCCTCTGCTTTTGAAATACCTCTCTAGTCCCTCATTTGGCAAGCAAATCCAAACCTAACAGCTGCTGCCACTCAGTTAAGTTTAAAGCTCAAATTCACACCACAATTTAAATTGCGTGCATGCACAAGACAACAATAGAGAAAGATGTTACTGATTTCACAAACCCCATCAAATGGGCCAAGCAAGGCTACTTGGTGGTATCATACTTAACTATTAACAGAAAGCAGCCTGGAGTGTAGAGACGGAATTCCCTCACTGCAGGACTGAAAGATGCTCAGCATCCCCCAAGTGTCACTCAGAACCCAGCAGCATTGATGTCAAGTAACCCTGGAAGCACAAGGCCACCTTACAATTTCTGCAGGAACTTTGCCCTACCAAGGGCAAGGAGGAGATGCAATGGGTGGCTGTCTTCTCCATTTCTGTCTCACAAAGCTTTCAGTTCTCACTTCACGTGACCTGGTACTAAACTGTTTTCACCATCAGTCCAGATTACAAAGCTATTTTCAATAAAAAGCAAGGTGTCTTATACCTCCACATTCCAGGCTCCTGAGCTACAATAAACAGCAGCATGCTCAACAGAAGCAAGGGGCAAGACTCGCGGTGGCATTATCACCTGGCAATAAGCACAGCTGTGTGATCACTTGGGGCTTTCCAAAAATTACCTGCTGACCATATGCAGACAGAAGTCAGCATGCTACCAGTATGCTCTATGGAATACACATCACAGTACATTCCTTCCTGAGACACAAACCCAATCTTTCCCGATATATTAAAAAAATAAAATAAAATAAAATAAAAAAGCACAGATCTGTCTCTGTTAAAAGGGTGGATTACAAAAGACAAGAGCAGTGTGAAGCACTGCTTTGGCTTTCTGGTACATCACACAGTTTCCAGGTACTGCAGGCTGGACAAGAGCATCTCATCCCAGAGACACCCCCTCCCAACTCTTGCAGCAGCAGTAACAATGCGACGGCTGCAGGGATCCCGAGGCAGCACACTGGACCGTACCTTCATGGGTAGGCTCTGGGTCGGGGGTCAGCGAGATGTCGTCCAGCTCGCGCAAGCAGAGCCATTCTCCATCCATGGACACTCGGAATTTGCAAAGATAGATGGTCTCCATGGCAGCCTGAGTGATCTTGTCGGTGGTGGGGGTTGGCATGTCGCTTTGAGGCGTCAGAGCAGACATGATGACTCAGCTGGTACGACAACAACAGGGAAAAAAGAACTAAGAAGAAGAGCTTTTGGAAGAAGAAAACAAGAAATACCTTGCTATTATAGGTCAGATATGCTCAGGATCGCACAGACTGCTTTGGCCTTTTCATATATAAAGCAAGGTAAAAACGCCGCTCCTTCACGCTCGTCTGTTCCTCCCTCCTCTTCGTCAGCTGTCGCTGTCTTCAGATATGCTAAAGGCTATTGATCCTAAGCAACCACAGAAAACCTGGCTTCTGCATCAAAGATGGAAAAAAAAAAAGATAAAAAAATATATTAAAAGAAAAAAAAATGCAGGAGGAAGAAGAAGAAGGGCTTCCTCTGATGGCTACCCAAGCAAAAACAAAGGAAGAACGTAGAAGAAGATCTCCAGGTTTGCTGAAATGAAGCTGCTGGTGCCTTTCTTGCCAGCTCAGGCAGGGCAGCGAGTGCTGCTAGGATTGGTTGTGCGCAGTAAGCAGGGTGTTGACCAAAATGGCTGACTAATGAACTGAACTGAAAATTCAGGCTCATGTGACCAGCTGCTCTGAGCGTGGGGCGAGCAATTCCCAGGATGCCTCATAGGCGCTGCTGATGCAGGGACGGCAATTAGGTCTCATCATCCCCAGCAGCTTCTCATCGGGCTCTGCTGGGCAATTTCCGAGCAGCACAGCGTGGATTTCTCATCAGCCGCCCCCGTACTACAAAGAAGAGCAGCGCGAGGAATACAAAGAGACATCTGTATTCCTCTCGTGCGCTGGATGCCGCTGCACAAGTGAAGTAAGTACCTTTGTTTTCACAGCAGGTGTGCAAGTTGCAATTCCATTCTGTTTTTGTTGTGCAACCCCCTCATGTGGTACCTTTGAGCTGAGATTTCCCATGCGTGGAGGAATTTTAGAACGGATTTATCCGCTCGGGGAAACAACGAGAAAGAAAAGAGCTCTAGAGCTAAGCACTTCAGTAAGGTAGGATTAAGATGTTTTAGAAGGGCACACGCACACACCGGAGAACAATGAGGAAGAACACAAACATACGGAGGTACACAACAATCTTAGACTTCAAAAGCACCAGTTGAAAGCAGGTACTGCTCAGGTGAAGCTCAGGATGAAGCATCACCTCTCAGCAGGCACAGAAATGGGCTTTCAGTGTCTCAGGAGCCAAACAGCAGTCCCGTGCAGCCAGATAAACCTCCTCCAAGTCTCGGCCCACGCAGCCCAGGGCATGGGAGGCAGCACTGCTCTGTGCCAGCCCACTGAGAGCCTTCTTATCCTCAGTCACTATTCAACCAGCGACGTGATGCAGGACTGCTGCCCCCGGGAGCTATGGGATGGTTCTATTCTTGCATGGCTTCAGCACATGGCAGAGAGTAGGTGGGCAGCATACATCTGAAATGGAGGCTTGTCCCCAGCACCCACCCAAGGAAGTGAGCAGAAGCTGACTTTACCAACAAAGCACATCGATGGGAACACAGGGATGACTGCTCACAGGACCTCAGTTACTGACTGCACGCTTTTCCCCTCAAGAAACGCTAGAAACAACTTGTGTCCATTTCTAATAAAGATGAAACAAAAACTGATCACTTGATACAGAAATCAGAATGCCAACTAACAAAGCTTTTTTTTTTTTTTTTTTAAAGAAAACACTCATTATGTCAAAAATTGATAATAAAACTGGAAAAAAAAACAACACAAAGTTCACTGTTATTTCCACCAAGCAAGAGAAAGCTGCTGCTTCCAGTGAAAACTTCCTGCTTGGTGCACAGCATTCTCACTCAGCACCTCTTTCTCCCCACTAGGTTAAAAGAAAGAGCCACACAGCGTGTTATTACAGCGATGGAAAGAAGAATTACGTGACAGATGACAATGGTTACTATTGTTCCCTCTCTCTAAGAAAGAATGGGTTTGATATCACACACCAACACGCTAGCTCAGATTGTATTTGTACGTCCTTTCAACAACAAGTTCCAGTTTCAGCACTCACATCTCACTACTCCAAAGCCCAGTGAAAGCTGTCCTACACGGCTACAGAACGCTGTTCCCTTCACTCTTGCTTTCTGAAGCAGTCCAAACAAACAGCAAATCATCAGAGTAAACTCTTAGGAGTCAACAAAGTACCACAAGCTATTTTGTAAACTGATGTATGTAACTGTCAGTTATAACTACAAATAACACTGGGCGCAACCCTGCAGCTCCCACTTCAAAACAATGGTCTTCCACTGGCTTCAGCACTGACAAATGACCACGCAGAATGATCACAGCAGAAGTTTCTTTAGGCATTATTCTACTGGTTTCCTTGTATGCCATCTGCTTCTTCTTAACATGAAGAAATAAAAGCAGCCACTCCGCCCTTTTCAGCCCAGGTGTGTTTCCAGTCCTCCCTAATACAACGCTCGTGCTCTAAATACTGCATAGGGATTTTTAATTAAGGAAAACTAAAGTGATGCAGTGGCACAGGCTGCCCAGGGAAATGGTGCAGTCACTGTCCCGGGGGTGAGGAGCCGTGGAGATGTGGCACTGAGGGCTGTGGTCAGTGGGCATGGTGGGGATGGGCTGGAGTTGGACCAGATGATCTTAGAGGTCTTTTGCAACCTTAATGATTCTATGAAAGTAAATCAAAATATTGCTTTTGAAATATTTTGTTTCGTGAGCATGCCTCACACAAAACAGACAGGATACAGCACCTGTCAGACTTTGAACAATTGCTAGACTAAAAGAAACAGCTACCTCACCTCAATAAAAGTTCTGTTCCCCTAAGGCACAGCACCAAAACATCTCCGCAGATGCTGAAAACCTGATTTTACTAAAACAAAACAACAAAACCCCACAGCACAAGAGCTATCCTGTGCGATCTATTGATCTGAGAGCCTTTCCCCTCCCATCTGAAAAACAGGACATGAAACCTCCACCCCTACCCTGGACCTCAAAGTTATAAAGCAACAAAGAATCTTACAAAACAACAGTGTCACGTATTTTTAGCTTTCATAAAGCCTTTGAAAAAGAATTCCTCACAACTTGATGCCAAGAGCTGGAGCTGTTAGGAGGGTTTGGGTTCAGTGAGTGGTCAAGTGTGGGTATAAAGGAAGAGGAGGTCAGTCAGTGAAGGATCACTTTCTGAGCCTTAAACAAGTGAGATGCTTGGAGCAGTCTTAGAAAAGTCTAGTACTAACCACACTTTGGCAAAGCCGGATAGAGGCTCTGGCTAGATTACAAAACACAGCAGTTGGCAGATATGTTTGAATTTTAGCACTTCACAGTTTGAAAGCAAACCATTCCACCATCCAGCAGCGTTTCAAATCTCAGTTGTGCTGGAGAGTATTTCCAATTTATTGAGCTTTTAAATGAAAACGATCTAAACAACTACAAAACAAATCCCCAAACTACCTTTCGGACTCCAGAGGGCACCTTTGAGCCCTTCTGCTTGCAGCGCCAGCACAACCAGCCTGCCACCACCCCGACCTTCGGACCTTCCCCCGATGGCTGCACAGGGGCTGCACAACAGCCAGACAGCAAAACGGCAAAGTTGGCAGATGAGATTACTGCTTCAGATGATTGCATGACTTCTGGTTATTTAAAATCGCAGGAAACCACTGAACCATAAAAAAAAAAAAGCTATTGACACTACACAAATTGGAACCACTGTCAAAAGGAAACTATCTGATAGTAACAGCTCAGACATATCACAGAGCTCTGAGCAGCTGCTCATCATCTTGAGAGAGTACAGGAGCAGATAATTCCACGCAGACAAGATTTAAAAAAATTATGATGAAACACCAGCTTTTATACCACAGCATAAGATAAGCATGAATCATAAGCAAGTTTGTGCATGTTTTTGTAAAGCAGGTAGCCTGTTTGTGACTGATGCATAAGATCACACAGCCTGTCATTCCAGCCCAGTAAGGCAGTTCCCACACTTGTATGTGAAACAATTCTGGTCTATTTTCTTTCTTGATATGCAAAACTCTTACCGGCAGATCCAAGAACACAACTTCTGCTCTCATGCAACCTCTCTTTCCTTCCATTCGACTTCAGCCTGCACCAACAGCACCCAGCTGCCCTGCCTTCCTTTCAGTGGCTGTGCCCACTGTGACCATTGGAAATTGGGATGAGAACTTCTCTGTTTCCTGAACAAGTGACAAACTTCCTTCTCTTATTACTGTGAAGTACAGAGATTTAAGGAATCAAATACCTCCGGCAGGCTTTGAGTGGGAGCAAGGAAGGCAGCATAACCAAGTGGCTTTTGCAGCATGTAAGAAGTATTCTGAGTATTTACTACAGCTCAGTGTAAGTCTTCCTCTTGTTCTCTCTCTGACTAGAACCATCTGTATTAGGAAAGCAGGTGCTGCTGGCATCAAAAGCTTCTGCAACCTACTTCAAATAAACACTACTTCAAATAAACCTTCAAAATATTCTGCAATATTGCCTCCCCACTGTGTTAGTCACTATTCCACTAGAAAAGGCAAATATCAACACAAAGAAATTATTTTTATTACAACTTATGGAAATGACACCAAAGAACTCATGATCTAGCAGGAAACGCCTTTCACTTGAATCTTTTCAGTTTACAGCTAAGTAGAGAGGGATTAGTCTTCACAGAGTACGTCACATCTTTAATCCAGGCACAAGATGCAAAAATAGCCTTCTTCACACTCCTCAGCTTATTTTAACTCCAAAAATAACTGGAGCACCAAAGAATCAAGGGAAGCAGACGTGATTGACCACTTTGGGTACTGCTGCAGAACAAAGAGCAAGAGAAGTCAACGCTGAGAGTCACGTGCTATGGCAATGTGCATTCACAGCACTGGAGGAGAGCCTGTGGCACAGGGTCTGCAGGCCAGTCACAGCCTTCCCCAGCAACACAGGCAGAGCAATCCTGATAGCCCAGACCACTGTTAATGACAGCACATCTCAGAGCCACACAGAGGAACTACCATTCAGAGGAGGCGCTGAGAGTGACACCGTCTGCAAGGCCACATACTCCACAGGTAGCCAAAAGCAAGGTCAGCACTAAAACAAAGTCCTTTCTCCTCCAGAGCCAAACTCTACCACTGCTTTAACACCAGTCCTGAAGCAGCAAGTGGATAGGCAGAACTTAGCAGCAGAGCCCGCTTTTCCAGACACACAAGAACCAAAACATCTTATAACAATGGGCACAATGAGAAAGTTGGTTTGCAGACAGAACGTGCTCCAGAAGAAACAGAGCACAGTCCGTGACACCGTGCAAATAAATCATGGTTCCTGTTCCGTTCAGACACAGCCATGATGAGTGGGCTTCAACATCTGATATTGTGCAGGCAGCTATTACTTCTGAGACAGAAAAGTGCAAAGGAGTTTCTATACATCTTTCCTAGGGCTTTTCCCAAAGCTTATTCGGGCAGCCAGCGCTGTGACACCAACACAAGGGATGACACACTGCTCCATGGCAAGGTTGTACACTAACTCCTGGAGATCTCAAGCAAACGAGCTCAACTCAGTGCCTCAGCTTCACACATCCGCACAGACCCTCCACAAGGGAATCAGAAGAACTCAGCATTTTTGAACTGCATGAAGTACCATAATAAAGGCTAAATACAGAATCACAGAATGGCACGGGTTGGAAAGGACCTCAAGGATCATGAATCTCCAACTCCCCTCCCCCCCCCACCACAGGCAGGGTCACCAACCTCCACATTTAATTCTACACCAGGCTGCCCAGGACCCCATCCAACCTGGCCTTGCACACCTCCAGGGACGGTTCATCCACAACCTCTCTGGGCAGCTAAAATACATTTTTTAAGAGCACAAGAGGTTCTCTTCACCTCAAATAGCTCAGTCCCTCCTCACACACATATCACACAACTACAGTGAGGAGGTTTCCCGATTAGGAAGCACCAGTTTGTAAAAAGGAAGGTTTTTGACAGGAAGTTAGCCTGAATGACAGCCGAGCAGGGTGGGCAGGCAGCAGCTGGCAGCAGGGGCCCTTCCTGTAACTAAAAACAAAGGGAAATCATTTCAGCTGCTCCACATTACAGAAATCGACTTCTGGTCTCGGCGGTCATAGCTTTGCTGAGTAATAGCTAAATAAAGTGCATTAGCTTCAAAAAGAGAACAGACAGCCAAAGGGAGCCGCTCCAAAACAAACGGGCTGCGAGGTCTCAAAGGGCCACGCGACGCTTCTCGGGACAGGGACAGAAACCCGCGGTTCCCGCAGCGCCGGCGGTGCTGAGCCGGAGGACCGGCGCTACCCGCCCGCCAGCACCCCGCGTCCCGGCGCCGACCCGCCCGCACGAGGGAGCGCCGGGGCCGCGACCGCAGCCTCGGGGGCCGCGCGAGCACGGGGAAGGACGCCCCGTCCGCAGGAGCCCGAGGTACCGCCGCCGCACGGGAGCTGCTAGTTCACGCCCGCGGGGCAGGCTGACGGCACGGCTCCAACGGGAGCCCCGGCACCCCGCCCCAGCCTCACAAAGGCCCCTCCGCGGCACCTCCCCGCACCGCCCCGCCGCTACTCACGGGCCGCGGCGCCGTCGGGCCCCGGGTAGCTCAGCAGCAGCACGGGCAGCGCGGCCCCTCCGCGGGGCGCCGGGGGTCTCCACGCGCCGTGCGGCGCGGCCGCGCCTCCATGGCCGGGGTAGAGGAGGAAGAAGGGCGGCGAGGCGGGGCGCGCCTCGTCCTCCTCCTCAGTCACCGCCGCCTCCTCCGGGCCGGGCTCGGCCCGCCGCTCCATGCCGGGAGGCGACTCGGCTCTCACCCCGGCCCCGTCCCGGGAACTTTCCGCCGCCGGCGGCGGGAGAGGCGCCCGCTCCGCCTCCGCCATCGCCGCCCCGGACCGCCGGCCCCGCCCCTGGCGGGAAGGAACGCCAGAGCCGGCCCCGCCGCGGGCTTCCCCGGCCGCGAGCCCCGCCGCGCGAGGGGAGGTGGCGCGCGGCCCCGCCCGCCTTCCGCGTGCGAGGGGCGGGGAGGCGGCGGCGGCCCCGGAGGTGCGGAGCTGCGCCCGCCGGACGGAGCCCTCGCGGGGGGAGGCGGGGCTTAGCGCGTGAGCGGCGGCCGGGAAGGCGGGCTCCCACCCGCGGTAACTTCTCTGTGCAGCGGGGCCGGCGCCCTTCGCTCTGCGTGCGCCCGGCCTGCAGGGGGGCGGGATCGCAGTGGGAAAAGCGTTTTCCGATCCTCTGAGGAGAGGTGACAACACCGAGCCCGGATATCGCCTTCACCGCTTATACGGCCACGGGCCGTAGGGAACCACAGGGAGGAGCGCCTTCCTACGGGCAGCGCCCAAGGGCTCTCAGTCCGGCAGGCGGTCCCAGCGCGGGCTGCAGCGGCAGCAGCAGCAGCAAAGAATGAGGCTCTGTCGGCTCTTACAGAGCAGCCCGCACTCAGGAAGCCGAGGTGAAGATGAAACGCGTCACTTTTCCCTTTTTTTTCAATCTCACAGAGCCCTGAAGACATCTGCCTGCTGCGGGGGGCTGCCTTCCAGCGCTGTCACACAGTGTATGACTGCTGCCTTAACGGGACGTT